CAGTGCAGGACAGGAGGAATCACATACAACACCACAACCACACACACACACACAGAGCAGTGCAGGACAGGAGGAATCACATACAACACCACAACCACACACACACACACAGAGCAGTGCAGGACAGGAGGAATCACATACAACACCACAACCACACACACACACACAGAGCAGTGCAGGACAGGAGGAATCACATACAACACCACAACCACACACACACACACAGAGCAGTGCAGGACAGGAGGAATCACATACAACACCACAACCCCACACACACACACAGAGCAGTGCAGGACAGGAGGAATCACATACAACACCACAATCACACACACACACACAAAGCAGTGCAGGACAGGAGGAATCACATACAACACCGCAACCACACACACACACACACAAAGCAGTGCAGGGCAGGAGGAATCACATAAAACACCACAACAACACACACACAGAGCAGCACAGGACAGGAGGAATCACATACAACACTACAAGCAACCAGAACGAGCACAATCCCCACTACATCACAGCTGGTTAGGATGGCAATAAAAACCATTTTTTTTTAAAGAGAGATACTCTTGGGGGAGGCGCGTGAAGCCGGGAGATACCCGTAGGAGCGTGTGTGTGTGTGTGTGTGTGTGTGTGTGTGGTGCGGGGGAGGGTGGGGATGGGCAGGCGGCAGGGAGTTTCTGAAGGAGAACGGAATTAGCCTTGCCTGTGGGTGGAACCAGAGGGCAAGCAGGGAGAGCGAATGGGCCATATCCCCATCCGGGGGGCTGCTCTGGGTTAGTGGGTGCCCTTGCTGGGGATGGGTGTGAAGTGAATTGCTTTTATGCACTTTAAAATGGCATCTTCCTTCTCCAGCTGTTTCCCTCACTTCTCTTCCTGTACTTCGATCTCCGTGCTGACATTCGTTAACCGACCACCCGGCCAGCTGGTTAGGATGGCAATAAAAACCATTTTTTTTTAAAGAGAGATACTCTTGGGGGAGGCGCGTGAAGCCGGGAGATACCCGTAGGAGCGTGTGTGTGTGTGTGTGTGTGTGTGTGTGTGGTGCGGGGGAGGGTGGGGATGGGCAGGCGGCAGGGAGTTTCTGAAGGAGAACGGAATTAGCCTTGCCTGTGGGTGGAACCAGAGGGCAAGCAGGGAGAGCGAATGGGCCATATCCCCATCCGGGGGGCTGCTCTGGGTTAGTGGGTGCCCTTGCTGGGGATGGGTGTGAAGTGAATTGCTTTTATGCACTTTAAAATGGCATCTTCCTTCTCCAGCTGTTTCCCTCACTTCTCTTCCCGTACTTCGATCTCCGTGCCGACATTCCGTCACCGACCACCCGGCCGAGTTCTTCCAGGCTGGGGGGATTCATGAGAAAGTGATTGGCCGTCTCTTGCTCTCGGTGTGTCAAATGTTTAACCGTTACCCAGCAAACTTCTGGGCGTGCTGTGTGGTTTATCCTGTACAGGCTAACTCACACAGATCCTGAGCCAAGCCAGCAGTGTGGCCTACCCTAGAAAACCTTCGCTGAGCCCCTGCCAGGAAAAGACAGACACAAATCAGAGAGCCCTGAGCCCTGGGTAGGTTGGGGGGGGGGGTGAAACACTTTCACCCGCGGTGATGAGTGGAGAAGTTTGCTGCAGCCCCATTTATACTGTGGATCAGTACAACTGAGGTCACGCGTGTAACAGATCTTAGGGTGCCAGTGTTCCCTGTAAGCTGAGGGAGATTCCAGGGCCACCCAACAGATTAGCAACACACTCACAGCTAGGTTTGTCTTTCTATGGGTGGTGCACATTCACACAGGTTTCAGTGCACGGAAAATTATTCCGCACATGGATGGAAAACAATTAGAAGGAGCATTGGTGCCAGGGCTGTGAGTTTTCTTGTAACCCCGGGCCCCTTCGCCAATGTGAGGAAAATTTGCCTGTGCTTATCTGGGAGCTGAGTCCTGACATCGCCAGCCTGTCAGCTGGTCATGCACTCCCCTTTGGGCTCTGTGGCCCTTTTTTGCCATGCAGGTTACCAATAGGTGCACCCCCACGCTCCCTGAACCCCTTCAAAGTGTTCCCCTGTAGTATCCAACTCCTTCTCCCCTGAACACACTCAAATACTAGGGTTGCCAGGTGTCCGGTATTGACCCGGACAGTCCGGAATTTTCACCTCCTGTCTGGTAAAAAAATTCAGAAAATACTGGACACCTAAAATTTCCGGTATTTTCTGATTTTTTCCTGGCCAGGAGGTGACAATACTGGGTGCTTACCTGGTTCCTCCGAGGAGCTGTCCGGCCCAACACAGGAAGGCAAGATGGCAGGCGACCACAATTGGAACGGCCTCAAAGGTATTTCTTAAAGGGGCCATGCTTTTTTTTTTACTTAACTTTGGTCTCCCCTCGTTGCCTTCCCTTGCCTCATTACCGACTGCCCGTGGAATTGTAGATAAATTAAAGCTGCTCTAACCAGCCTTTCTCTGTCTCTAAGAGGCCTGATCGCGAGCCAGCCGCCAACACACGAAACTCCAAGCCTGTGGAGAGCTGTGACAACACACGCCGCACCCTGGAAGGAAGGGCTGTGGGTCCCTCACCGATTCCAGCCCGATGGGTAGCTAGCCCCCATCTGGGGCTGGCGCTCCCGCATAGAGGACGCAAGCTCAAAAAGGTCTTTACAGCCAGCGTGGAAAAGGTCAGCTAGCCCACAGGTGAGGGGGCATCTTCCTTCGTCATCGCTGGGAGTCTTTGCGCTCAGACGGTGGTCTGGCCCCCACATCAGGCCTGTGAAAAATGTCATGTCCTGCCCGATGCAGTGAGGTCAGCCTAGCCCTGTGTAGATATGGCTAGGTCCGTGGACGAATTCTTCAGTCAACCTAGCTACTGCCTCTCGGAGAGGTGGAATAACTACAGCAGTGGGTCTCAATTAGGGGACTGCTGTCCTGCCCATAGGATGGTTTGGGGTGATGAGTGGAGAAGTTTGCTGCAGCCCCATTTATACTGTGGATCAGTACAACTGAGGTCACGCGTGTAACAGATCTTAGGGTGCCAGTGTTCCCTGTAAGCTGAGGGAGATTCCAGGGCCACCCAACAGATTAGCAACACACTCACAGCTAGGTTTGTCTTTCTATGGGTGGTGCACATTCACACAGGTTTCAGTGCACGGAAAATTATTCCGCACATGGATGGAAAACAATTAGAAGGAGCATTGGTGCCAGGGCTGTGAGTTTTCTTGTAACCCCGGGCCCCTTCGCCAATGTGAGGAAAATTTGCCTGTGCTTATCTGGGAGCTGAGTCCTGACATCGCCAGCCTGTCAGCTGGTCATGCACTCCCCTTTGGGCTCTGTGGCCCTTTTTTGCCATGCAGGTTACCAATAGGTGCACCCCCACGCTCCCTGAACCCCTTCAAAGTGTTCCCCTGTAGTATCCAACTCCTTCTCCCCTGAACACACTCAAATACTAGGGTTGCCAGGTGTCCGGTATTGACCCGGACAGTCCGGAATTTTTACCTCCTGTCTGGTAAAAAAATTCAGAAAATACTGGACACCTAAAATTTCCGGTATTTTCTGATTTTTTCCTGGCCAGGAGGTGACAATACTGGGTGCTTACCTGGTTCCTCCGAGGAGCTGTCCGGCCCAACACAGGAAGGCAAGATGGCAGGCGACCACAATTGGAACGGCCTCAAAGGTATTTCTTAAAGGGGCCATGCTTTTTTTTTTACTTAACTTTGGTCTCCCCTCGTTGCCTTCCCTTGCCTCATTACCGACTGCCCGTGGAATTGTAGATAAATTAAAGCTGCTCTAACCAGCCTTTCTCTGTCTCTAAGAGGCCTGATCGCGAGCCAGCCGCCAACACACGAAACTCCAAGCCTGTGGAGAGCTGTGACAACACACGCCGCACCCTGGAAGGAAGGGCTGTGGGTCCCTCACCGATTCCAGCCCGATGGGTAGCTAGCCCCCATCTGGGGCTGGCGCTCCCGCATAGAGGACGCAAGCTCAAAAAGGTCTTTACAGCCAGCGTGGAAAAGGTCAGCTAGCCCACAGGTGAGGGGGCATCTTCCTTCGTCATCGCTGGGAGTCTTTGCGCTCAGACGGTGGTCTGGCCCCCACATCAGGCCTGTGAAAAATGTCATGTCCTGCCCGATGCAGTGAGGTCAGCCTAGCCCTGTGTAGATATGGCTAGGTCCGTGGACGAATTCTTCAGTCAACCTAGCTACTGCCTCTCGGAGAGGTGGAATAACTACAGCAGTGGGTCTCAATTAGGGGACTGCTGTCCTGCCCATAGGATGGTTTGGGGTGGCTGCTCCAGGCCCCACGCTTTGGGGGGGAGGGGGCTCTGCACATCAGGGGACCGTGGGGTCTAGGCAGTGCAGAGATTAATAGCAATGTTATCAGCCCCATTCTGCAATGCCCCACCTGGCCAGCTCCCAGTGTTGCTCAGGAGAGGAGGGGGTGGTGGCTTGGGGGAAGGGGTGGAACGGGGGTGGAGCCAGGGGCGGGGCTTAAGGGAAGGAATGGAGTAGGGGCAGGGTCTGGGATGATGCGGGAGTTCTCTCAGGCCATGCACCCCTCTTGGGATAGCCCAGAAGTATTCAGGAATCCTTTTCCCCGGGCACAACAACTCATTGAGTTTGCCTGGTTTTACAACAGGTGACATACAAAGCACCAGCAAAGTCAATAGAACCTAAATTTTCATACAGTCGCTGTGTGGTTTCTGTTGCTTTATGTTCTATATACAGTCCACTGGCATGGAAGTACAAGACTTATATTCCAACTGATTTATTTTATATGGTAAAAAAAAAAAAAAAAGAACATCAGCCATTTTTCAGTAACAGGGGCTGTGACACTTCTGTTTTTCTGCTTGTTTTTGCAAACAAGTGTCTTTTAAGTGAGGTGAAACGTGGCTGTAGGCCTCCTGAAATGGGTACAGTTGTTTGGAAAGGTTCAGCCTTCTGAAATGGGTAAAGTCGTTTCGAAAGGTTCAGCCTCCTGAAATGGGTACAGTCGTCTGGAAAGGTTCAGTCTCTTGAAATGGGTACAGTCGTTTGGAAAGGTTCAGTCTCTTGAAATGGGTACAGTCGTTTGGAAAGGTTCAGCCTCCTGAAATGGGTACAGTCGTTTGGAAAGGTTCAGTCTCTTGAAATGGGTACAGTCGTTTGGAAAGGTTCAGCCTCCTGAAATGGGTACAGTCGTTTCAAAAGGTTCAGCCTCCTGAAATGGGTACAGTCGTCTGGAAAGGTTCAACCTCCTGAAATGGGTACAGCCGTCTGGAAAGGTTCAGTCTCTTGAAATGGGTACAGTCGTCTGGAAAGGTTCAGTCTCTTGAAATGGGTACAGTCATTTGGAAAGGTTCAGCCTCCTGAAATGGGTACAGTCGTCTGGAAAGGTTCAGTCTCTTGAAATGGGTACAGTCGTTTGGAAAGGTTCAGTCTCTTGAAATGGGTACAGTCGTTTGGAAAGGTTCAGTCTCTTGAAATGGGTACAGTCGTTTGGAAAGGTTCAGTCTCTTGAAATGGGTACAGTCGTTTGGAAAGGTTCAGTCTCTTGAAATGGGTACAGTCGTTTGGAAAGGTTCAGTCTCTTGAAATGGGTACAGTCGTTTGGAAAGGTTCAGTCTCTTGAAATGGGTACAGTCGTTTGGAAAGGTTCAGTCTCTTGAAATGGGTACAGTTGTTTGGAAAGGTTCAGCCTCCTGAAATGGGTACAGCAGTTAATACAGTTGCTTAAATTTTACAAGCCTTAAAAACAATGACTGTGCAATTTAAACCTTAAATACTATACATTCTAAAGCAATTTATACAGTGCAAAGCAATGCAAAAGCAATTAATAGAAGAGCTACTATAATACAATAATAAAGCCTAGTTCACTTACACTTCACCCGTATGCTACCTACAGTGCCAGGCAGGAAGTCGTGGTCCCTTTGATTCCCACCTGTCGGGACGCCATGCACTGGGTCATCGGTGTGAAAGGCCTATTTACTTCTAGGTACATCGAGCAGGACCTGCGGGTCAATCCTGCTCATTCCCTCCCATCGATTGTTCTTACTAAGCCCATTTGATAGCAAAGTGAGACTTGGTCATTCTAATCATATTTACCAATTGATTCTGTATTGTGTAGGATACGTAAAATGCCCAACGCCCTATTTGGGGTCTTGCTTAAACTATACGCGTAGTTGATGGTTTAATGGCTGCATCTGTAATTTTTGCTTATCAGAAACAGAAGTACCAGTCCAAGATTGCTTGTCGCGTATTCTTGATGCGGTCTCGTGTACCATGCTTAACCTGCTTCCCAAACCTTGCCTGCGTGCTTATGTGCACCAGACTTGAGACAGGCCTGGGTTTTGCTTTTTAGAGATCCACACTGTGGTCAAGGCAGGGCAGTCTAGGTTCTCCTAAATTCCCTCTCCCCCTTTGGTCATTTATGAGGTTTTTTTTTATAATTGGGGTAGTTAAGAAGAAAAATTAAAAAATAAGTAAAAAAGGGAAAGACGGAAAACGAAGAAAAAGGACAAATATTAAGTTTTGGGGAAAAAAAGGTGATCTATTCTGAATCGAGCATAACAAACCCATTTTGATATTTTCTATTTTCTATTACATTTTCTTTCATTTTCTTTTTACTTTCTTCTTTAGCGTCCTGTGTGTTTTGTGAAATCTGGAGCTACACGCGCTTTTGTGGAAACATCTCTCCACCCAAAAAAGTGGCCTTTTCGAGCAAAATGTTCCATGCCAGTGATGAGTGTGTCAGAAAGCTTTTTGAGTGTAAAAATGTGAGGTTTTGAAGAACAGCTGTAACAGAAACATTTTTGCCACTAGCACAGTGTGGGAAATGGGTTTTGGTCCCATTTTTGTTGTTTTCTTGGGGAAAATTCATATATGAAAACAGTTTGCTTACAACCTGAAATGTTTCTATTGTGAAGTGGAGAGAATTCTGCGGTTGGACTACTACATGTATTCGTTTGCTGGGCTCTTCCAATCACCCCCAGTAACTTATAAGGGGAGTTCTCATAATGTAAATACAGCTGACCCCTTGTAGCAAGCCACTCAATATGCTGACTTCCATCCGTTTGAATAATTTCCATCTATTGTGAAACTTCTCCGCAATTTAATTTAATCCTGCCAACCCTTTCCACCCTGTTTTAGCCTGGCGTATAAGAACTGGTGAGATACTGCCATCTACTGGAGGGTCCTTAAAAAGGAAAGAACCCAGAGCTCTGATTGTTACCAGGAGTGGCTCTGCAGAAAGTTGGCCAGGAGATACGGACATTTCGGTTCCCAGCCAGGGCTGGTCTGAGAGCACAAATGGCGAACACTGCGCTTCAACAGGGACAGGAAAAGCGTCACAACCTGGACCCAGAAGAGCAGAAATCAGGTAATTTCATACTCCCTCTTGCCCAATGTGCCCTCGAATCTTTTCCATCCACATGCAGATTATGTCCCTCCACGTGCGGAATAATTTCACTTGCACCAATGAATGTGCACCACCAACAGAAACAAACAAACAAAAAAACCTAGCTGTGGACGCACTGCTGGGTGGCATTCGAACCTCTCCTGAGTGGCTACAAAAGCCCCCAACTTACATCGCTCCTACCTCTTTTTCCTTTGGGGTGTCATGGAGTGTGGGAGAGTCTCCAGGCCCTGTACCCCCATCCGCAGTCACATGTGACTCTCAGCCGGCAGGTAGAACAGAAGGTTTATTGGTTCACAGGCACACAGCGTAGTTCAGACTTCTTGTTACAGGAACCAGGAGGATTCAGTACAGTCAGTTTTGGGAAGGAGGGGGAGCCGACCTTCAGCTCTGGGCCCCTTCCCTGGCCCCCCTGACCAGCTAAGATCCCTTTTGCCTAAGGCAGCTAAAAAAACCTAACTTACACTTTGAGCAGCTTCTAACTAACTCACATCACTTGGAGATTTAGGCAGCTCTGCCGCCTGCTTTGTCCCCTCCTCATTCAGATAGTGTGGCAGTGCTTAGGGAAACTGAGGCATGCACCCACACGTTGAGTGATTTCACAACAGCCCAGGACAGCAGAATCACATATAACGCAACAAAGCAACTGGTGAATGTGAACTGGAGTGAACACAGGACTACCGGGTTATGTCTACACTGGCGAATTCTTGCGCAAGAACTCTTGCACAAGAACACGTCCACGCTGCCATGTGCTTTTGCGCAAGAGCATCCATGGCTGTGTGGACGCTCTCTTGCGCAAGAAAGCTCTGATGGCCATTTTAGCCGTAGGGCTGTCTTGCACAAGAAACCCCTGCCGTGCGTCCACACTGCCTTCTTGCACAAGAGCTCTTGTGCAAGAAGGCTTACGCTTGTTAGAAAAGAGCGTAGCTCTTGTGCAAGAAGCCCTCTCTTCCCACACCATACTGTAAATCTTGCGCAAGAGCTGGCGGGCAGTATGGACGCTCTGCAGGTTTTTGCTCAAGAACCCACCAGTGTAGACATAGAGTGGACAAAATCCCCACTCTGTCACATCGGGTCCAGGGGGAAACTTGATGTCAGGGATCAGTCCCTAAGCATCAGGGTTTGGCCCAACTTTCACAGGAGCCGAGGAACCATCGTGAACAGGAGTGGAACCGAGGAACAGGAGTGGCAATGGGTCAGCCCCTTTCGAGGTCAGGCAGAAAAGTTCTGGATAGAGCTGAGACAGAGCAGAGACACCGTAGAACTGAGAGGATGTCGGCAGATGTCGACCACAAGTTGAATATGAGTCAACAGTGTGATGCTGTTGCAAAAAAAGCAAATATGATTCTAGGTTGTATCAACAGGTGTGTTGTAAGCAAAACTCGTGAAGTCATTCTGCCGCTCTACTCTGCACTAGTTAGGCCTCAGCTGGAGTACTGTGTCCAGTTCTGGGCGCCACATTTCAAGAAAGATGTGGAGAAATTGGAAAGGGTACAGAGAAGAGCGACAAGAATGATTAAAGGTCTAGAGAACATGACCTATGAAGCCAGGCTTCATGAACTGGGCTTGTTTAGTTTGGAAAAAAGAAGATTAAGGGGGGACATGAGAGCGGTTTTCAAATATCTAAAAGGGTGTCACAAGGAGGAAGGAGAAAATTTGTTCCTCTTGGTTTCTGAGGACAGGACAAGGAGTAATGGGCTTAAAGTGCAGCAGGGGAGGTTTAGATTGGACATTAGGAAAAAATTCCTAACTGTCAGGGTGGTCAAATATTGGAATAAATTGCCAAGGGAGGTGGTGGAATCTCCCTCTCTGGAGATATTTAAGAACAGGTTAGATAGACATCTGTCAGGGATGGTGTAGACGGAGCTTGGTCCTGCCTTGAGGGCGGGGGGCTGGACTCGATGACCTCTCGAGGTCCCTTCCAGTCCTATGATTCTATGATTCTATGATTCTTATGTCCCCTTCTGCTGTGGTTTGTGGCTACTTGGGACTTGTCTTTTTCTTAGCAGGGGAAAAATTGATTTGGCCGGAGACCCACGGCATCAGGGTACCCTTCCGATCAGAAGAAAGTATTGGGCTTCATCATGACCGGGAGGGTAAGCCCGCTTCGCGTGTCCTGGCGCTAGCAGTAACATGCCGCATTGTGCGTGTTGATGTCAGCACCAGGGTTCCTGATTCGAATGGTAAATGTGTTTCTTGTGACAGCAGCCAGGGGTAATGCTGAGATGTAGTAAGTCAGGGGGTATCTACATAAGCACGGCCTCACGGGGTCAGACCAAAGGTCCATCTATCCCAGTGTCCTGTCTGCCGACAGTGGCCGGCACCAGGTGCGCATAGAGGGAGGGAACAGAACAGGGAATCTTCAAGTGAACCCGGTCGCCCATTCCCAGGCTCTCGGAGCATGGATTGTCTATTCATACAAATAATTTCTTGTTACTTCCCCGACCCATCCGCAAATACTGCAACCTGCAGGCCCCTCCTTAGGATTTATGGGGCCCTAGGCAGTACTATCAGGGGTGGCCTGAGGTTGGCTGCGGCAGCTGGCACCCCAAGGTGGAAGGCGCGATCAGCGCCCCTGCCTGCACGGCCGTCAATGGCCATGACGTCATCATCGGGTGCCCGGGCATCCTGTGACGTCATCATTGGGCAACCCGTGAGGCCATCACCGGATGCCCGTGTGACATAATCACTGCCACATGACGTCATCATTGGACGTCCCGTGACGTCATCGGGCACTGTAACATCATCATAGGGCATCCGTGACATCATCACTGGATGCCCGTGTGACATAATCACTGCCACATGACGTCATCATTGGACGTCCCGTGACGTCATCGGGCACTGTAACATCATCATAGGGCATCCGTGACATCATCACTGGATGCCCGTGTGACATAATCACTGCCCCTGTGATGTCATCGCCGGATGCCCGTGACATCATCATTGAGCGCTCCGGCCCGGCGGAGCCCTAGGCGATCACCGAGTCTGCCTAGGCTCACAGGCCGCCCCTGAGTGCTATTAAACTGGTGCCCTTATGTCCGATAGCAGCCTGGGGCGGGGATGATGATGATTTTGTAGAAATGTGATTTTATAATCCTCAGCCACACACCCATAAAATATTTTAAAGCACATTTTAAACTCAGGTCCTGTTGATTGATGCAGTAAATTCAGAAACTGACAGGATAGACCTGTTGGCACTTTTAAGTTCACTAGATCCTCTCTGGAGGAAGCAGAACCTGTCTGGGGCGTGTTAAAAGCATCTTTGAATCAAGAGACGCTTTTCGTAAAGCCACTAGGGCCGGGCCCTGTCCTATCGCCCAGGCCTCTGGGCAATTTTCCCTTTTATTCCCCTTCCCCTGGCATTTCTGAATAAAAATCGCTTGGTTGTTGATTTGGGCTGGGGGCAGTGGAGTGAAAAATCAAACATTTCTGTGGAAAAGTTGAACAAAACCATTGATTTTTCAGTTTTGTCCATTCCCTGAGGGAGAGGCAGAAAGTGCCATTTTCAGACAGTTTCTGCTACTGGGAGCTGAGCGGCCTCGACAGAATTTTAACTCTCGTTCTCCTTTTTTTCCTCAATGTTACCGGTTAACTGCAAATCCACCCGGTTTGTTTTTGCTTTGTGGGCTAAGAGGTCTGGTGCCCGGCTGGGGATTCATGGCTCTTTCTCTTTCAGTTCCTGGGTGCGCATGTGGGAAGGCTTCATGCCTCAAAGCCTTCGCTGGGATCGCTGGCGCAGCTGTGGTTACAACACTCATCATTTTAACAGGTCAGTGGCGACCTTTGCTTTCCCCAGTTTTGAGCTTTCCAAGAGTTGGGCTTGCTGCGAAAGCTCACTAGATCCTCATGTGGCTGCTGTTTGGAGAAGGTCGTGTTTTGCTCTGCCCCCGCTCTGTGAAAGCTGCGCACCTCCCAAGTATCAGAATCACCGAACACTAGAACTGGAAGGGACCTCGAGGAGTCATCGAGTCCAGTCCCCTGCCCTCATGGCAGGACCCGGTACCCTCTACAGCCTCTCTGAGAAGTGTCTTTCCAACCTGTGCTTAGATATCTCCAGAGATGGAGATTCCACAACCTCCTTAGGCAATTTATTCCAGTGTTTGACCACCCTGGTAGTTAGGAAGTTTTTCTTAGTATCCAACCTCAACCTCCTTTCCTGCGATGTAAGCCCATTGCGTCTTGTCCTAGTAGTGATAAAGGATTTAACCAGGAACCATTCTTCATGGCCCCCAAGGCCAGGGAATTATTCTCGTCTCCGTTTTAGAAGTGGGGAGATTAAGTCCTAGAGACAGGGCCACCTTTCTCATGAGCGAGTCTCTGATTTCATTCTGCTTCCCAGTCCAGAAGCGGAAGAGAGACTCGAAGGCTACGTCTACACTGGCATGATTTTCCAGAAATGCTTTTAACGAAAACTTTTCCGTTAAAAGCATTTTCGGAAAAGCGCGTCTAG